GTCAATGCAGTAACGCCGAATTACACCAGTAAGTTATTCAATCTCCGCCGTTAGAGGTGGTCACAGAGCTACTTTTGATATGACGGTGTAGTTAGATTAACCAGCACAAAGGTGGGTATTTCTGAAGGCTATTGTAAATGGATAATGCTGTGCACAGAAAGATTTAACGAGTAAACAAATGGTGCAGTCGCTTCAGGTCAGATATGCATATTTTTGTTTACGCATTTCACCCGACTAGGAAGTATGCAAGTGCATTCCTTTGGGATGCTTCGCCTCCATTCCCGCCCCCTCTGCCCAACCGCCCTCCTAGGCACACGTGATTCATCCCCTTCGTACTGAAAAGCCAAACCACAGAAGTACCAGTGGGGAGAACGGCAATGCACTACTGCTGCATGATTCCTTTTGAGGGAGTAGGGTTGTACAGCGATTAGAAGAGACTTCTGACCATTTCAGGTATCCTAGCATTCTCGATTAACACTTAAAGTGTATCTGGACGATTCCTCCCACTACCTTGAGTTCTGCCTTTACAAGATTTCTTATTAATTCAGAGCCTGCCGTTTTCTTCCACCAAGGGAAAAGGCGAGTAGGAAGGGAAGAATTGAGAGGTGAATATTCAGGATAGCCGTAGACCGTCACAATAATGTCACTGTGTTCAGTCAAGCCTAAAGGCGAATCGGTGCATCCGTAGGGCACATTTGCGTACTTATGGCTTGATCATTTAATACGCGAAAACATGAGTGCCGTCGCCTAATCTGAAGACATTCGACCACTATGGTTAAGTAAAAAGCGAAGTAAGTTGACAATTTTTTCTCTTTTTGTTTATTAAAGAAAAATTGCTGACTGATCCTCCAGACCTTGCAATGAATGACTACCACAGCCCTACTCAAGATGAAAGTCAACAATCACGCAATAGGTGTGCCACTCAAATAAATCCTGCTCCTGCGTTAACGTTACAACCTCAACCAATCTGCTTGCAACACACTTTCAGTCACTCCGGAATAGCGTAAAGAAACCACGTCACATGTGGAGAGCGTCAAGACTGGGGCGGTGGGGACGGTTAAGGAAATGGGGGTGTTGGTAGCGGATGTGCCGAGAGAGAACGCAGGCGGATGCCTAAAAAGTTCCGCCTTAAAGCATAATGGGTTAAAGTGCGTAATACGGCTGCGACACATGGAAATTCAGAAGTACACCACCAATTACGCAGGTGACAATCCTAATAGTGCCGCTTAATCCAAGTGGCCTGATTTGAATTGCAGAGGCTAACTTGTAGTTGTGATGCCTTTTTTGCTGGGTATTTCATTTGTGATTGCAGGAGAGGAGTGAAGGTAACTACAGAAAACCTCGAAGCAGGAAGAACACATGCTGGGCATTTGTGTGCGTTCATTAATTGAAGCGCATTAAGGGGGACAATTTAAAGGGGATAATACCTGTCATATTGCTTGCTCAAATAGCTAGCGCATGCCATACCATCGCTTTTAGCCGAGATGCCAGACAGCAGTCGAGGTGGAGTGAATTAAACAGTGCGGGGTAATGAGGAAAGTACTTGGTTAACAAGATGGAACTATAAGATGCTCCGCCGAGTAATGAGGCACTTAGGGGTAGCAGCATGTCAAAAACGTCTATCGGTAATGATGCTAGAGGCGGAAGTTTGCTCCCAGCCCACAGACTCAGCAGTCACTTTGTGAATATTCAACCCAGCCAGCGCGTGGATCACCTACCCGCCATGAGGCGAAGTTGTACAAGAGACGAATCTGTGTGTGACAACGATGAATAAAAAGCGATAAATCAAGAACAGTGACACTTAAAATTGTGACAATTTTAAGTACGCATGATGCGCGCATGCCCTAAAATAACTCAGCCGTACTGATGAATCTACTTTGCAGACATTAGTTAAAAGTTGGCCGATAGGCAAATGCATGTAGCGGTGGAAGGAACGAATTCGGAAAGCAATTTGTAAAAACTCACTTGTTTCATGAAAAATACAAATTCAGAAGTCCTACTTTGACGCAAACGCCCAACTTGGTAACTCCCTATATTATGGAATTCCAAAGATAGCCCAGTTGAATTGACAGGCAAATGACAAATGGAAGTGAACTTGCCATAAAAGGCAGTTGGATGGCCAAATTTTGGTTTTCGAGAGTCATTTTCAAGCCCAATCATAATAATCCATAGGGTACTATATAAAAGGGCGCCAAGTCTTCATTCTTGAAGACTTGAAGAGTGACCAAAAATGAGGTATCCATCATGATCGCACTCAGCCCAAAGTAACCAAAAAAATGGTAAGCTATCCTACATAGTTCCCTCCAAAAAGGACCACCGACACAGTGAAGTAGAATCATTTTCACATCACTTATGAATAAGTTATGAGAAAAAGTTATTTGCAGAGGCAGCCTACGTGATATCGAGTTACGAAGTCAGTAACATCACTACCAAGGGAAGGTACTGCAATTACTGTAGAAGGAGGGAGCTTTTACTGAGATTACTTCTAATTTTCAGTATTATTGTAATTATTTGTCTGAGAACGCAATGGCTTTCCACGTAGGGGCTGAAGTGGCCTCTCAACTCAAGGAAAATAATTCCAAACCAGACGAATACAATTCAACCAATCAGAAATGCATGTGGAGGTGACTTTCGCCCTAAAACGCAGTCCCTATTTTGACTGTTTGAAATAAAAATATTTGAATTAGAAATGTTTTCGTGACTGCAAATACACTTAATTAAGTGGCCTTTTCATAAAGATTCTGCATTTTACCTAGTATGTAGGTCCTGACACTGGGCAAAAAGGTAAAAGGTCAGTTGCAGGTAACAAGTGGATCATTAGCGCGTATTTTACCTGAAACCTAGAAACAATCATTATTCATTCTCTAAATTCCTTCTTTTTTATATGTAGGCTTTAAGGGTATTTGTTAAAATACTAACTTTCTCTTGTAAATATAGAAAAGAAGGTTTTAACTCATCAATACTGCAGATCAAAATGATAAATCGAGGATGGAAAAATTTTAATAACTAACTTGTACTTTGTATCCCCACGGCTCCCAATGGTGTTTACATTAGGCCGGTCCCACTATGCAAATTAGCTCCCGGGCGAAAAGCGCGCACGGCCTACATCGTCATGGCACCGAAATATGACTCATTTCGGCCTGATGTAGATGTTGTGGCATGACTAAGCTGTCTTTCTGCCTAACAAAGCCTTTCACAAGATGGAGTGGACACATGGCACAGTATTACCGGTTGAAAAGGCGCCTTATCTATACTCTCGCTTACAGGCCTTTGACGCCCTCTACTGGCACTTCTCACAAAGGGAGAAAAAAAATCGACCCAACTCATCGACCTGCAATAAAATCGATTATTGATTAGTTTACGGGAACAGACACCAGTCATTGACCTTGTGCCCCACATTTTGGACTGGCAATGCAGTAAATTCAAACTTTAGTGTGGCTATTTACGATTGCAATGAAACATTTGGAGGAAGGTTTAACCACAAACGCCAAGACAATAAACAGTAGGAGGGTGAGGGGAAAGGGGGGAGCGATTTATAAACTGAAGCCCTGGAGCAGCCACCCCAGACACGAATGCCGACTCTGATGCACAATGATGGAGTGGCTGGCTAATCTAACTTCAGGATCAGTCACAGTTAGCGGCACGCCTTTGATTAGAAAATGACATTAATTTTATGATAACTGTGATTGCCCACCGTCAGAAACATGATCAACCTACTGTGCCATGCCCACCCTCTGGTCGCCCCTACCACCCAGTCAGCCTACCTACCTAACCACCTGCCTGACTAGTTCGCTTTGAAGTCTATCTCCTGAAATTTCATACATGCTTGCCAAATGAAGGCTGTTTCCAGTAATCGGTGGAGAAAATACACTAATAGAAGGTTGTTTTGCAAGCGCCAAGAGTAATAAAACAGTGTTAAAGATTGAACACCCACACACATGACAATGACCCTGGAAAAGCAGTTTTGTTTGCGAGGTGAGGTTAGCAATACCGACCTTCATTAATTTTTCACAGACACTAGCTGCCACCTCCGAAACAAGCATCTCACGTTAGAAAAGTGTGTGGAAATTTGCACGACGAGAATACGGTTTTACCTCCCTGAAGTTGGATAATGGACAGAACCCTTGAAATAACCCCTAACAGTTGCGGCTGGAACCATGCGACCCGTTAATGGTGTAATAAGCGTGACGCTTTAAGGACACACTGGGGAGATCTCAGCTATCCTCATTTATGGGCAGCGGCGCCCTAAAACGATCATCTCCATACCTCTCCAACCTTGGCTTCACTTGTTATCTCATTTCGAGAAAACTGGGATGATGATCGCGAAAACCAGCCCTTCCAAGGCATGTTTGATTGCGCAGGGTTATAATTGCCAATACCGTGTTTTAGTGCACACAGAGTCAAGAAAAAACAAAAATTTGTAGGAGCAAAAATATCTGCCCAATTAAACACAATTTTGAACAAGCAGTTAGTAATCTGAGCTGAAGGAGATGAGTTTATTACTAAATTTCCCGTTTAGTGCTAGTTTGTGAGCAATGGGGGGGATAACGACAAGTGAACGCTCAACTCCCCACCTTCAAACGTGGCGCACATACGCACACACGCATGCATGAACGAACGAATGAATGAATGAACACGCGGACGTACCCACGCACTTCGGTATGCACTAACCACCAGTCTTAAAACCGGAACAGCTGTTTAGTCACTTGGCGCATTTTCATTGGCTGTAGACTGACCAATAAATTGGGTGCGGCCGATCGTCATGACTGTTCAAGCTCTGCGCACATAATTGTAGCGATTAAGTGTTGCGCGGATCTCTTTATCTTTTTTTCCGTTCAAGTGGTCCTTTACCTGTTTGCTCTAATGCGTATTGGAAGTGGTTTATCTTAGTTTTCGGACTCGCATCTTTATAGTTATAAATGGAAGCTAATCAACCCTCTGCTGGTACCGAGCAATCGTCCTACCGATTACATCTGAGGAACGAGAGTGTAGGGCAAATGATGCCTGCAGTGCCCACACTCGTGCTTGAAAACCTCTCCTCCTTCTTACAGAGCTGTTGTGAGAACACACAACCGGCTCACCAGCAGCCTCCGAGTCATTCCCATTACCATCACTCAATACCCTCAAAGCCACCAATTGAATGGGTCTATTCACAGCATAATTTCTCTTCTGGTCGGTCTCCTGAACTCCTACGAATGAAAGCGAAGGAGCTGATTCAGCAGGAGAAATGCGATGCGAACTTCACCTATTGTGTTGACCAGCCGTCAAGATTAGTCCGCATCGAGTGTCTCAAAGCGGGATGCAAATGTGTTCTCAAGCAAGAGCCTGCTTTGGCGTTGAAAATCGTCTGCGGAGTGAGTCTGGTGCGGGGCAGCTGGTCAAGTCTTCAACAGCAAAATTCGCACGGTTCTCATCACCCTCCAAAATGGGGATCGATCTCGTCCGCGTTCGAGCGTCTCCAGTCAAACCGTTTTTCCAATTCATGCCAGTCCCCGCAGTGTCAAACGCCCCTAGACCAGCCTCTTGTTCCCAGCAGCAACAATAACAGTTTCAACGACCAAATTCCTCTTATCTTTACCTCTTGTTCGCCTTTCTGGTTCGAAATTTTGAAGCAGTGTGACGATGCCTTCCAGGGACCAGATGTACCCTGCTGGAATTCTGGGAAGGCAGTGTGGAAGTCTCGGCCGTCGATGTTTCTCCTCCGGAAGCAGACTAAGTGCATCCTCTCTGTGTCTTCGAATGGTTCTCGGGGTCCTGTGACTTTGGATTTAGACAATGTGGTCCATCTCCATCCGGGCACTGTCCTACGACTAATTGACTGCAAGAGCTGTCGACTAGTATCGAAAAATAATCCCCAGTGTCCGCCCATGTCCTCTCTCCTTCAATGCGAGGTTGTTGGGAGCAAGTCTTTGGCGAAGTACGCCTCTTTGGCCAACAATCTTCCTCCGGATGATGCGCTTTACTGGTTTGCCAGTGGGCCTCGTCTTGTTTACCTCCCCTTGGATGATAAAACGGTGTCTTTTTATCCCATCGCAACAGCTCCGCCTAACTCGCGTGAGAATAAGAACGCTGGGTGGGCCTACTCCGGCGCCCATTCAGTTCTCGACCTCCTCTCCCACTTTCCTCTCCCTCTCACCGTTCGTCCCGTTATGGAACACAGTCTAGCCAACTGGCTAACCTCCTCCTCCCCTTGCATCAGGGATGGTAATGCTGGCCTCCATCTGACCTCCTGTTATCATGGTGATCTTGTCTTTCTTGAACCAATCGCTGATTGCGGCCCCGCAGCCGTAGCTAACAACAACAGTGTAGGTACAGCTGGTGGGAGTTCGCGTTTTTTCGTAGTTACTGCGGAGATGCTTTCACAGCACCGTTTTATCCTCGCGACGCCGCAGTCCTCCCAGTTCCACGCTAGAGAACTGAAAACCCATGCTTCGAGAGTGGCGCACTTTCTGGCAGCTTTTCATCCGGCCTGTGGACTGAACTATCTCCTCAAGTACCTGGAGGATGTAACTCATTGCTCCTCGGTTGGGCCTCCTCATCGCCCGCTGACAGAGACTCTTGGGCCCTTGGGTGGTGAAGGTACGGTGGCTTCGCATACCGCGGTGGCCAGCATTGCTGCTTCGATGCTGCTTTACCTTGACACCGATGATAGAGAAAAGTTTCCTGATCTGCACGCTCTTTACGACGACCTTGATGATATCTACCAGTACGTCCGAACAGGTCGTCTGCCCTTGAAGCAAAGGGGAGTAAATCCATCGTCAGGAGTACTTCGAAGCTGCTCCGCTACTCCAGGACCGGGTCCACGGACGAGAGCTCGTCAGGACTACACCATTCCCTACGTTTTTTTCCCTGAATCCAGTTTTCACTCCAACAACACTCCCTCTCTGCAGCAGCAACAGCAGCCCCCTCCACCACCTAGGCGGAACATGGTTACCCCTACACATGCCTACGCGTACCCCAATGCCGGGAAATACGTACTGAAGTCAGACATCCCATCACCACTACCGTTTGCATCCCCTAGTAGACGACAGGCCTATGTTGACTGCGCACGACTCCGGTCAATGGAGCAACCCTTTTGTGGTCAACCGCCTCCTTCCTATTCCATTCTTAATTTTGCGGCGGTGAATGAGCGAACAAACAGCTCGCCTGATACAGGTTTGGGCGGAGATAGTGGTCAGAGTGGACAGAGTTTAGTTGTTCCCACAGCGTCCACATCCATAGTGCGGTCCTCGTGTCACCAACTCATTAATTTTTGCGAAAGCGGAGTGAGCAATGAGGGCGAGGTTGCTATGTCAATGAAATCTCCCCAGCTTATTTACCCTAACCTGCGTCGATTGACGGTGAATCTGAACAAGCGCATCCTCTAACGGTATGGATGTTGACGGTTGGTTGGACTAGCATGCTTACGTGCAAGCACTCCATGTATATTTTGACACTTGTATGTATTTTCCCCTCCCCCTTCACCTTCCAATTCCTATTATGACTCCATGCCACTCTTTTTTAATGTTTTTTTTGTCATATTGGTGATTTGCTGGAGCGTTGTGAAATTATCGAATAGCTCCGCTCTCACTGTCGCTGGTGTCCGAGCGTGAATTTAGGTTTTGTGGGGTCGGAAATTCTGGGCGTTAGGAAGAATGCGATTGGTACTTTGTTGCTCGTTTTATCGTGTTAATGTAAAGCCAATGGGGGACGGATTTGCAGAGATTTGAGTTGGGCGCAGAAAGCTCGTTGATCCGTGCTTGTCGGGTCGCGAACAGGATTTGCCAGATTAAGCGCTCCATGACTTGGAGTGGCTTTGGTGAGGCTTGATTGTACTCAAGCCCCGAGGTGGGGTCTCGAGTGCGGTTGGTGCATGTGCTCGTCCTGGTGTCGGGACGGTAACTGCCTTCGGGATCGGTCACGATGTAGCGAAAATTGTTGCGCGGTCGCGTGATACGCGTGATAGACGGCTCGGTAGGTGTGCAAGAAATGGCAGTGAGGGCGGAGGTAGTTTACATACCTAAGTTGGCGCGCGATGGATTTCTACCGTTGGGCCAGTGGGTGTGCAAAACGAGCTCTTTGCTTCGGGTTGAGATTTTCACAGTTGGGTGATGCATCGAGCGTGACGACTGCAGGGTTATTCGAGCCAAAGGTGGGACTGCAAACTGCGACTGAACAAGTGCGGGTCCGGGGCTGCGTCGATCACATAAGGCGGATGTTCCCGACTTTATTCGATGTGGATGTTCCAGGTTCGGGCTGTGTAGTAAGCGGCAGGCGTTGCCTGTTACTCCCTATCTAGAAGTTTTGTAATCACACTGCAGCTAAAAAATGAGGTCATTAACAAAATGCTAGCTCTGCATGGTCAAGTGATTCTGCATTTAAAATTTGCAAAAATATCATCCAATGGTCGGAGACCGAGCAGGCCTTGTATAGAGCCTGAAAGTAAACCAAAACCCGCTAGATGAATTCCGACAGAGACATGATTCAAAACATTTGTCTAGTCAGACATGTCCAGGGTATGAGGTCACTCTGCGTCTCGCCCCTCGGGTCATGAATAAACAAAATGCTGCACTGGCGGTCAGTTTGGTTAATCCAGCACCGGGCAACCTCGTAAGGGGACAGAGGGGAGCTAAGAGACCACAGGAGTGGATATTAGGCCATGGCTTGGAGATGTTGGTAGAACCCATGTTAACTGAGGGGTCCGCGTGAACGAACTTACAAGTTAAACAGCCATCGTCGGCTGTGCGACGAAGTTGAGTCATGGAGCGGTTGTTGATACTTCTATAGAACACCGCTTTCTCTACGATACAAGGTTGCGTCGAAGAAGGATCTACGTTGGAGTCTCCCTTCTTCTTCAACGGTAATAAACAAACTAGATAAGGTTGGAGTTCGCTAGTCACAGCCGCCAATGCGGTAACGCGCACACCCTTGGAAGACATTTCAAGTCCTACCAATACGGGGGACCGATATGCCAAATTACAGACAACCATAATCACGTTGGCAGCACTGCGAGATCTTGCTTCTTTTTCCTGCCTCAAACCACAAGCTGGGGTTACAAAGTCTGACTCCAGAAGGGCAAAGTCGTAAACAGTTGGCTGGGTCAGTGGCAAGGCTTTCGAGTTCAGCGCCGCTCTTCGTTCCAGTGGCATATGGTTGCTGTCGTGCCAAAGCATCCATACATCCATCTGCTCTATCATTTCGTTCCATTACGTGCTCCAATATCAAGTTTTCCCGTAGTTTCAGACACATTCGCCTGTTGCTTTTTTCCACTATAATTCATCATCACCATCTTTCATGGTTACACCTGAAATCCCTCATTAAGTGTTACCCATTGTGTTGATTTCATGCAAACGCATTCGACTTACTTACGCATAAATTCTCCACCGAATTGAGAAATGGTACCCGCAAATCAAGAAAACCGCCTCCAGGGTGTGATTATTTGCATTAAGCAGTCAGCCATCACACAGTTAGTGGACTGCGCACCCGGTTCACCTGACAAGGTACGTAGGAGGAGTTACGACCGGTGCTATTGAAGCTACCGCAAATCAGCGGTCCCAGAACGGGTGTGTCCGAAGGGTGCACATTCTTTACGGTTAAGGTGTCGCCAAGGTGCTCCACTTTTAAGACGGTGTTGACACCAGCCTTTGAATGGTGTTGGAAGTACGGATCAAAGTGATTTCGGGCATAGATGCGGTGTTAAAGACCTTTCTCCCTCTTCACCCCTCCCTTCCCCCTTCGGTCTTTTTTCTTTCCACACTCCTGTGCCAAAAACTCGTTCAAACTTTAACACATAAGGTCTGGGATTAAAGACAGCCTCCCACTAGTTTACGCCAGAATTGCTAAAACAGCAACGAAAATAGGCTGTTAGTTGAAGGAGTAATTTTTGTCGCTTGGCTTAGTCAGCCCAATGTTGTCATGCTATGGCTGACATAAATTTTGGAAATAAAACTGCCCTTACGGTTCCGGATGAACAGAAGTGGCCGTTAGGCGGTAGTAAACTTATTCTAGCACGGTGTCATCTATCAGCATCACTGTATCGTCATGAAACAGCGAGACATGTCATGCGTATATTTCGCAAAAAAGCCGAAGTAGGAGTGGTGAGTGAAAGCAGGTCCCAATTGTTTTTCTACCAAATGCTTCTAAGTGTTGTCTCACACGTCCATGCAACCACCATCTTTCCATTCACCTCTTCCATCCTCTCGCCCAATTGACTGTGCCTACTATGGTGGCTGTAGCTGGCATTGCACGTTGTAGTGGGTGCATCGTTGGACAAGACACCAACCAATCAGGTGCCACACAAATCAAATTCTTGCAAAGTAATTTCCACCTCGAAGCACCTTGCAACATCATGCATTGTGTGTCACTGTCTCACTCAACCGAGTGGAAAACGGAGGAATTGAACAAGGATTAGGCACCTTTTATCTTCCCCTCCCTTTCGTAAAAAAGAATGATACATTTTTATGGATGCATTTCCTAATGTCAAAATAATTGGTCTACAAGTTTGTCTTAGGTGTCGTTCGAAATTTCCAATGTCATCAGACGTAACGGATTTGTCGAATAATTGGAGTCGAGTACCCCTCTGGTGTCAACTACTTCGATCTAAACCTGGCAAACATTTTACGGAACTTAATGGCTAAAATTGACGTTAGTATTAGTGAAATCTTTCCCTACATCTAGCCTCTATACAAATTCTTCAAAACCTCTTGTTTAGTTTTGGAAGCTTTTTTGGTTCCTTGTGGTCATGACTGCAGCTAGGTGATCGTGTGGTGTGCACTACATCACACCTCCGCGACGACATTCCACTTTGGAAATTTAGTCCTGGACACCACTACGAGAGGAAAGTTTACCCTCAATCTGGGCTCACATGTCGATAGGTATTAATTTTTTCCATCTTGGTAATAAAACCAGTCTTTTCTCTTTAAAGGTATTTGTGCCTAAATTACACAATACATTTTCTCCTCGTGTTACATCCATCTACCGCTTTCAAGTCCTTTTGCATCCTCCAAAAAGATGGAAGGCCTGGAACCCATTTGTAGATTTTTTATCCTAAAATTTCCTTATTTTAGAGAAGTTGACAGATTTTTACCCCCCATTTATGTTATCAAAGGGTTTTCACGGTGTTAAGAAGATAAATTATCACCTAATGCCGCTTCCGGTAATGAATTATTTTGCACTCTAGAGATTCGCTGCCACACCAGGCATTGAAGTGGAATTGCATCTCTCGGTGTGCGTAGAACCACGAGTCCCATACGCGTACTTTAAATGAATCCTCATAAATTATAATCCACCTAGAGTTGCAAATTCTGCCGCAATAACTCCTCGGTACATGGTTACTTGGTCGGCTGTGGGAGACGCTGTGCACCTTAACGCCATACATCCACCATAAGGACGATACTTGATGTTGACGAGTTTTCCAGTTTACGTAGGTTCAGGCCACCGTTGGGGAGAGATCAAGGGCGTTACATCAAAGGCAACGGTTCAAATGAACTAGAATCCCAAATTTAATGCCTACACGGAAGACATCTATTGTTGATGGCCGAGTCTGCAGAATTACTCCAAAACGGTTGTTGGAGCTATATTAAAGTTTATCGCAATCGCCCCGATCTGATCCATGTCTATGGTAGCTGAATGGAATCTAGGCAGACGGTTGGAGTGCATTCAAACAATTACAAGGTGATAAGGCTGCATGGATTTTGGATATTAGCTGTGGAAAATCATATTTAAATGTATTTTAGTAAATGGCTCTAGTTTTATTAAAAATCGAGCCCTAGTAAAACGCCAGTGATTTAAGAGTTACCAATTCTCGTGCCATCAGAATAGCTGAGATGCATTACCAAAGTCGGGGTCAATTTGTTTTCTCGTCTTATTTGCAAGTTATCATCTCACATCCTTTCCGTGCCGAGGCAGTGAAGTAATCACAGCTAGCACCGAGGGTGATGCTCCAGACAAAACTGGGATTATGTTACTGCTGTCTTTAACTTCTCAGCCCTTCTATGCCTTGTTTCTAGGATCGCATTCTTGATAACCTATTCAGGGATAATGCAAGCGCTACACAGGTTGCGGTGTGCGGTGGAGGATATGGCCGAAGAATAAGATCGTTTTTATAAATACTTAAAAGACTACTCGCATCTAAAAGAACAAAAAGTCAAAATTTAAAAAAATACCGTCGAACAGTGTTGAAATGGTCATAGAATGTGAGGGGAATTGGATCTAGACGCAAAATTGACCACAAAACGTAATGAAACGTGCCTACCTGTATTTAGAGGCTCTTCCCAGCTAAGTTCCACCGAAACGTCGAGTAGTGTAGCTGCTTTCTTGCCCTAATAAATGACTATCACACGATGTTTTTTCCCTGCATCTCAAAATATTTAAGCTTACTCGATTACTATTAAGTTGTTTAATGTGCTAGAACTGACTTTCAAAGGAAGACCGGACCTCCATGACGATGTCAAAGCCTTGGTACTGGCCTTCTGGTCCCTTAAACAAAGTTGCTTTTAAACGGGTGGGTACTTAATCCTCGCCAATACTACTAAGTCAAGAATTCAACCTTCTTCGTTCGAACAGCGACAGGTTTGAGACCTCAGAAGTGGCCAAGAAGGATCAAAATGGTGTGAGTCATTCCTCCTTCAACCCAATCGTTTAGCAGAGAATTTGGCGCGGGTCAAAAAAGAGCATGGTAGGTGGAAGCAACGCCACTTTTTCTTTTCAAATACCCTCATCTCATAAACCTTCAGCATTTTTGAATTGCATTAGGGGATTTATCAAGGTAGGGATGACCGGGAAACCAGTTGAGTGATATTTTGAGAGGTGGAATTATGCAATCAACTGATGCATTCCACGGACTAACAAAGATATCAAGATCATTAAAATTGGGAGTATTATAAAGACGTTCCTCAGTTAGTAAATAAGTATCTATTTAATTTAGCAAAAGAAGGACGGAGCTCATGTGGGTCCTTCAATTCAAACTGAGACTTCTGTGTTCCTCTCACTCCCACCCTCATGTATTCTGATGATAGGTGGGGCTTTCGCTACGGCCGACGGGCATGTCGTGTTTAAGCCACTTGACATACACAAAGTCAAGAAGCCATGTGACATGCGGATGTGGATGCGTGCATGTGTGGATGTAACAACGTGCAATGATGGTCAAGGTACTTTTTTAATGACGCCGTAAAACTTGTAGATATCCTTATATATCCACGCATATCCAAAGGAGACTTCAAGTACGATTTCACGGTATTAGTGGCGATGCTTAGCCGCTCCACCTACCCATTAACTATAGAAATAGATCAAAGAAGCTACTAGTGTTTTTCCTTTGAGTTTTGACTACTTACTTTGATCTTGTAATACCTACATCTAATTTGTCACTCCTAGGCTGCCTTGAATAAAAGGGGCTATGCAAAAAATGGCATTTCTTTTAGCATCACAGGCTCTTCAATCACTATGCTTTTCTTAATCATACCAGCAATGTGCCAATAGCCTACTCATTCCACACTGGCAAGACCTCATCCCACTGATGGCAGCGGCGAACAAATGCGATTGTAGATGGCTTAAAATGCGAATGCTCCCACTGGAAGCACTTCTCAATGGGGCAATTAACATCGGAAATGTTAGGAAGCATGAATGACTGGGAAGTGTTACAAACATGGCTATCTACGATACTTGTAAGATTGGTATGGGAATAACTAAATGAAGTGACACCTTGTGTATAGTACCTAAAAGGACCTCCGACAGAAGGTATTGGAGTAGTGAAATAGGATTAAAACGTCAAGTGTGCATAAATGTAGAGTATTTGCTCTGTGAAATGAACCTCTTGCAGAGCGTCGACCAGCCTTGAGCATTAAAAAGCCTGTGAAGCGTCCTTGTGCAATTTACTGGGGAGAATGAGGCTCTGGATCAAATAGGATCGGACAAAGTGCGTAACTAACGTTGAAATAAAGTGTTTTCCCAAGCATAGTCTCCATTTTCCACACAATGGTGGTAATGTTAAAGCACCGGCTATGTGGTGTGGTAAGTGACTTAAGAAAAGCGAGTCATGTAAAGAAAGGAAACCGATAAGCTTGCTCGTTTAACAAGGAGTTGCTTTCATTTATTTTTAACTTTTTGCCTATTTCACTAAAATAGCATTATTTTCGCCCATCATTTATCTTCCACGGTATTTTTCTAATTTTATCCAATGGAGTAATGTGCAACAGACGCC